CAGTATGTAATGGTATTTATTAATTAATGACTTTTTGTCATAAAAAAAGCATAATGAGCTTAATGCTTTAGATGCACCACTAGATGTCAGTAAAGCATATTTAGTGTAATGCTTTGGGGGCACCACTAGGGGGAGTGTGTAGGAAGACCTGTGCTTCTGGCAGTGACATCACAGGCCAGCCTACTTACACTGAATAAAAACCAGATGTTAGGAGAAGCAAGCTCTCTGTTTGCCTGTACCTGACTGATCATGTAGCACCAGCTCTGACTTAGCCCCAGCCAAAGGGCTGGGGCCTTGTAAGTAATATGTTTGTATTGTAACAGTTAGCAATTGTAATAGCCTTTTGTATAATATTTAGCAACCAATAGTGTTTTGTGTAGTATTGTATTGTATAATTATTGAAATTGACATTCCGCTAGCATCTGTTTATTTATTATAGTTATATTAAATATACATTTAATATTACAACGTTTTGTGTATTTTCTATCCACATATTCGACCATAATACCATGAATTATAAAAATATTAATGTTGTTCCGTATTGCTTAATTATTATGTATTAAGAGATTAATATTCATATTTAGGTCACGACCACAACATTTGGCGTAGTCGGCAGGATTATGCTTGAATATTGGGGAAAATATAAATGTTATGCATTTTGCTTAAATCATACTGTAAATTGTCTGTCGGTATACAAATGAATAAATGAATGATGATTTGGTTTTAATGGAATGAATGCAGATAGCAGATAGGGATTAGATATTTGTTTTTTAAGGTATCTCTTGTTGTAGAACATAGTGATGAATTATTATGTTGCTTGTTACGTTTTACCAACCTTTGGTCATTTTTATATATAAAACAAAAAACTATTTTACTTTTTGTCTGACCATGTGGATTTTAATCCACCATTGACCACATGGTGTGAATGAGTTGAGGCCTAGTTTCATTGTTTGCTACCATTTGCATAGGAAAAGACTTTTCACTAAACTAGTTCACCAGGTTTTATTGCTAAATTTGACCCTGTTTGTGTACTAATTTACATTTGTTTGGCATTCATGGATTTGTCTAGTAAATTAGTAGTTAAGAAAAAGATACGTTTAGTATAATCAGTGAATAATAGATTTATGTGTGCGTATACACAGAATATTAGTATAAATATATATGATTTTGACTCATGAAGGAGAGACCACCTTTTTAACAGCTGTGTGACCATGCTTTTCAGCTACAGCAGGGGGAGAATTTGTCCTTGTTGGGGGTGGGTAGTCTTGCCTGTATGAGAAAAAATAAACTGCATTGTTTTGTAAATGTAATTGCCTAAGCTAATCAATTTGTGGAGTGTTTTTCAGCTTTATTATCCAGGACTAAGGAATTACTGGACATATGCAGGAACTGGTAACAAATGAACTGAAAAAATGGTAAAATAATTCCTTTGTCCTATTTAGTCTGAATATTTTAACAAGTTAGCATTTTTAACAAAGTAAGTGTAGGGGCTCAGATTAAGATTTATATTATTTTAGAAGCCATCTATAACTGATTTTAATATTTCCATGCTTTGAATTAGGGTGTATCTGCCTAGCGGGTGAACCTCCATAACGTGGGCTGTGATTTTAGTTACAGTAGCGGGTGGGGAACCTGAGCTAGGGGGTATTTAAACGTGTCCGGATAAGGGGGAGCATACCCAATAGTTGTTGTGCAGTTCTATCCTGTATTATTATTTGAAACCCTGTATTACTTATAAGTAGCGTTTTGTAACTTATTTGTAATTGTTTATATATATTGCTCTGGGAAAGGGATAGGCAAAATCTCTGAGAGACCAGGAAATATATTTTTAAAAAGGGCGTATTACACTAGTGGTAGGGTGGCCTATCATGACCATAGAGACCCTTGGTGACTAGTTTTTGTTGTATATTGCCCTGGGAAGGGGATACGCTATTTAATAGAAATTCCTGAGAGACCAGGAAATATACAATAAGTGATACGTGAGTGTACTGGTTAAATTGCAGACATATTGGCCCAGAACCTTTAATCGAGCCGGAAAAGAGGCTGCTGTATGTTTGCTCCTCTATAATTTTGCGGGGGCGGTCACCCCCATGCGGAAAGCCACTGCCATCACAGGGTGGTTAGTTGTGCAGACCCTTAGCCGCGAGGTGAAAGCATGTCCGTGGAAAGGCTAGAAATTAATAGGGAGTCACTCATAGCTGTCAGAAGTGTTGAACTTTGAGACATATTGACCTATATCCTTTCAGAGGCGGAAGAGGTGTTGTGGTACACTCCTCTATAATTTAACCAAAGGGTGGAGAGTTATTAAACATGTTTAGGTTGGCTAGAAATGTGTTTCCTGAATTGCAGAGAAGATGCAGAAAGCAGCTATTAGCTGATTGTTTATTTTAAGAGCCAAGTAGAAAATTAAGAAAGTTACCTTGTTGAACAAATTGTTTATAAAATGAAAAGTTTAGGGAATGTATTTATATGTGTATATATGTATATATGCTAAGTAAAGGATTTGGCAGTATACGCTATAAGTGACAAGGAAAAGTAATCCTGATCTGTTTTCTTACCTTTTTCAGATATAGCAGAAACCAGGGGTGGACATTGGAACACAGATAGAATATCAGATGGAGACCAGTGTTTAAATGTTGACCTTTGATGAGCTATTGAATGTTTTATTTTATTGTCTATTTAACATGTCTATGCTATGATTTTGTGCATACTATTCTCTTATTTCTAGTGATTGTATTGCAATTGAAACCCTTATGTATTATTGTTGTATGTATGTATGCTTGCCTGGGAAAGGGGGGAATTGACCCATAGGGACCAGGGGGTATTTTTGTGTAAACCAAACTGGGGTGGGAGGGCTCTAACAAGGGAACCCCATTGTCCAGTAGGTGCTTGATTTGTGTCTGTGTAAAGTGCATGAGTGGTTGCAGTTCAAAAAAAAAAAAAAAAATGGAAGAATGATAAGAGGGATAAGAGAAAGTAGGCATTTTGGGTTATCTATACATGTTTAAATAGAAGGGTGGTAAATAGGAATGTAATTGTTTTGGTTAATGTTTAGATTACATTGGTTAAATACAGCAGTGATAACGAGTGTTTAGATTAAATTGGTAAATGCAGCAGTAATAACGAGTGTTTGGGTTAAATTGGTAGATACAGCAGTGATATTGTGTTTATCTGTGAATCAGGAGTGTGCTGGATGTGAAGAGAGGTGTGTAGGTATTTATCCAAACGCCATAGGAAAAAAATATGGTTAAGACACCACAATCAAATGGTACTTGTGATGATTGGCACAGTTATTATTTATGTTTGTGTTCGTCATTGCCTGTGTTTTCATTCAAGAACTTTCAAGCAAGGATATTTTAAGCAGAAGAAGAAGAAGCACTGGACACTATGCTCAACTGTTGCTGTAAGGAGAAAAAATATTGCAGCTAAGAGTGGTGAGAGTCGGAACAAAATGCATCAGGAGCAGGAAACTGTTATGTCAAGGTGGTTAATGGTATAAAGAAAGAAAAAACAAAACAATGTGACCACAAACACACAAAAGTCCTTGATCACATGAACTGTTTCAATCATCCCTGTCTCCATGCGTATGTTCTATGAGACTGTCGAAGAATAGAGTATCCAGTTTCCAGGACTAATGTTTGTGAAAATTCCAGGCACACAGACCAGCCAGAGGCTACAGAAATCGAGTCGGTCTGTGCCATGATTCATAGGTGTTATGAGTTTGTGGTGTCTAATACTATATTTAGCTCCAAAACACATCCTCACATGAACACAATATCATTGGTTAATCTAATAAAACATGGTTTGAGTTGTCTATTATTACAAGGGTGGGTATTTGCCTATTTAAGGCCAAGGTTTCCCAACTGCTAATGCATGTGCTCAGTGGTTATTATAAGGGTGGGGTATGTGCTTATTTTAGGCCAAGGTTTTTCCAACTGGTGGTGCATGTGCTCAATGAAAAAAAATAATAAAAAAAAATAAAAAAATTGAATAAGCAATAAAGTGTCATAACTTTACGGGTAAATGGGTATCATTCTTCAAAAGGTGGGTTTTGTTGTAGGGCAGGTACTGTTAAAATAGGGTAGATTCAAGATGTATGGGTTTATAATGTTTGTTTTATGACATAAGTCAAAGGGTGGTTTGTAATGGTATTTATTAATTAATGACTTTTTGTCATAAAAAAAGCATAATGAGCTTAATGCTTTAGACGCACCACTAGATGTCAGTAAAGCATATTTAGTGTAATGCTTTGGGGGCACCACTAGGGGGAGTGTGTAGGAAGACCTGTGCTTCTGGCAGTGACATCACAGGCCAGCCTACTTACACTGAATAAAACCCAGATGTTAGGAGAAGCGAGCTCTCTGTTTGCCTGTACCTGACTGATCATGTAGCACCAGCTCTGACTTAGCCCCAGCCCTTTGGCTGGGGCCTTGTAAGTAATATGTTTGTATTGTAACAGTTAGCAATTGTAATAGCCTTTTGTATAATATTTAGTAACCAATAGTGTTTTGTGTAGTATTGTATTGTATAATTATTGAAATTGACATTCCGCTAGCATCTGTTTATTTATTATAGTTATATTAAATATACATTTAATATTACAACGTTTTGTGTATTTTCTATCCACATATTCGACCATAATACCATGAATTATAAAAATATTAATGTTGTTCCGTATTGCTTAATTATTATGTATTAAGAGATTAATATTCATATTTAGGTCACGAACCACAACACAGTAGTACAGTTTTTGGGGTATAACATTTCTTCCTCTGGTTTTCAGATGGACCATCAGAAACTTGAAGCTGTCCTACATTGGCCACTACCCAATGGACTTAAAGCCATTCAAAGGTTTATTGGGTTTGCCAATTATTACAGGAGATTTATCAAAGGGTTCTCTTCTGTGATAGCCCCCATCACCAATATGACACGCAAGGTTGCTAGTAGTAAGATGTGGTCTAAATAGGCTTTTGAAATTCTCAAACAAAGATTTGCCTTGGCTGACATATTAAGACACCCGACACAAGCAAACCTTTCATACTGGAGGTTGATGCATCCAAAAAAGGGGTAGGGCCTGTTCTGTGTATGCCGTTTCTAAAGTACCTCATAAACTTCCATGTGGATTATTACATCCACTTCCCGTACCCAGTGTTCCGTGGTCCCATTTATCCATGGATCTCATCGTGGAATGGTTGATCGGTTTTCCAAGATGGCTCATTTTGTCCCACTCAAAAAAATGCCTTCCTCTCAAGACTTAGTTCTTATTACATGGCGTCCCTCACAATAGAGGTTCTCAGTTTGTGCCTCGGTTTTTTTCAATAAACAATTGGACATTTAATTTTATAACATGACAGGAGGCTTCATATTTGCTTAAGTCTCTCTTTACTAGAACTCCACAGCAGCACAGAAAACAACCAATCAGAAAAAAGTTAGGTTCTATAAAACTCCCTCCCCATTGCATCATTGCCTCTTTCTTTGCTGCTCCGCAGTCAGTACAGGTCAGAGTACCACTGCCTCCTGCTTCTAGGGTGGCTTTGGGATTTAGTATGACTTATTTAGGATCCATATTTATTATTATTTTTATTTATTAGTTATATATTATATATATGTTGTATTTGGTTATATTTATTATTATTTATATATGATATATTATATTTATTATATATATTTTATGTTTATGGTATTTAGTTATATCCATTATATTTCGCTTCATTTTATTTATTTATTAGTTATATTTTATTTATTTTATTTCGTTATATATTTATTATTTATTTCGGATTTACTGCCCGTTTTTTACACCTTACTTCCCCTGTTCTTGGGGATGTTTTCTTTCATGTGGCGGTTTTAAGGGGGTTCCTAGGGATTCCTGTCATTTTGTTCCCCCCTCCACTCCCCCACTACCTAGCACCCTTCTATTAGCCCACCCCGCTGGCTACGGGCGCTCCACTCGGGGTGTCAGGAGACTAGCCGCTTGGCTGCCTTCTCTCACTCCCCGAGCTCCAGTGTGAGCTTGCCGGCGCCCGGGGTTTCTCGCGGTCGGATGCGAGTACCCGGCGGGGGGGTCCACTCACATACGTGGCCGCCTCACCGCGGCCGTCTACTTCATAGCGCCGCGTGCGTCCGACCGGCGAGAGCCGGGTACGCCTGCTCGCAGCCCCTCTTCCAGACACAGTGATTGGACCGCAAGTTTGTTTTCCCTTGCTGGCATTCTGGCTTTGCATCTGCTCAGTGGCTTAAAATATAGTAGCACAATCTGTATTTCTGATGAATACAGTATCTTGCTTCTGGGGGTTCAATGTGGGTTGTTTCCATAATGCATTTAATGCTTCTGCAATATCCTGTATTATTATTCAATTTTTTTTAACTATTACACAGCTCACACAGAGCCAGTCTGACAGTGAGATCAGGGGTCAGCATGGTTTAGGTCCTGCTAACCAGTTGGTTTTGTCTCAAACCAAGTATGTGATAACCTGCATATTGCACTATTATCTAGTGTTCTTAGGTGCATATCCTTATGCATCAGTATATATGTTCCTGGCCCATCTCTTGAGTCAGAGATGAGATTACTCTAGGATGATATTCACTGCCCATGACAAATATATAAAGCTAAGTAGACCTGACTCTGGCTCAAACTGGTATGGGAGGACCAGTCTATGCTGACACTGATTCAATCCTATCAAATTCTGTGACTAGTCGAGTGGAAGGTGATCCCTTCCAAGCTCAATAAGAGGGTTGTTAAGACACCCTGGGTGTCTTTAAACTAAACCGCCGTTTAGTTCACCTTCCCCTTTTGCAATATCAGTAATCCATTCGCATAAACTGTAATCCACGAACCATAACCAGGGGAAGCGGCAATCTCCCGACCGGGATCCGTGAAAGGCTCCAAACTCCCGAACGGAAATCCACAAACTGCTGTTAGCCGCCGAACAACGATATTCACCAAGCGGCTTTCGGTTCCAATCAGCAGTCTCTAAGCGCAAATAAGAAATCGCCCCAATAACGAGACAGAAGGGCTACCTGCCCGTATTTATGCAGGTCTCCCACTTGGTGGACACTCCCCTAGGGGACCAAATGAGAGACTGTAATGACAGATAGACATGGGGACATTTCAGACATACAATCACAAGCTTTTCCCACAATGCAATATGGTTTCCTCCCCTCTGCCCTGGAGATAATTGAGAAGTAATTTAATTATCTCCAGGACAAAGACAAATCTCCATCTTAAATACAATACCAGAAAACACATAAAAATGCATAACTTTAAAATAACCGAACATTTCCCATTCGTATCACACATCCCGAGATAACCTGGATCTGAGTGCATATTATTGGCGAATAGCGCTCAGATCCCACACACATAGTTCAATCGCCATGGAGTCAAAGTTCTTACAGTCTTTCGTATTGCGATTGACTCCATGGGAAGGCTATCTGGGTTAAGTCCTTTCGTGCGTTTCAAAACTCCTGAACGGCCGGTGTTCGTACGCATTCATTGAGGCAGCCAGGTGACCCGTTGTTTCAGCGGTGTTTGGCAGAAAAAGTGTCCGTTTTTAGTTCCATGGAATCAGTGCCAAACACCGCTGGGCTTTCGTGCATTTTAAAATGGCCGCTGCCTCGTGGTCGACATACGAACGACGGCCACCCTGAATTCGGTTTAATTGAGAAGTGTCTGCGGTTAACCACAACGTTCTAATTGGGATCAAGAGGTTAACCAGCAGCACACTTCTTCTTCTGGGTGGCCATACGTTCAGTGAATTTGTTCGGTGAAAACAGTCATTCGTATGGCTGGGCTATAGAAACAGCCATTTACACGAAAGGGGGCAGAAATAGACGAATCCACCACAATAGACAGACGGTTCTATCACAAGGGTGCATTAAGTTGGCTATTGTTTTACCCTATTCCTGAATATATACCATGGGTACAATAACCTTCGGGTGGCAGGCGGATGATGCATAGATGAATGAAGAAATCTCGGACTGGTCTGCATACTCATGTGCATAACCGATTCTCCGTTAAAGAATCACTCAGTATATCATGTTTTTAATGGGCACTATTATCACTGGAACATCTTCAGCTTATGCCTAATACAGCTGGAAGACCACTATTTGCCTGCTGGGCATTTAGGGACTACGAGTCCCAGTTATGTTATTAACACAGTATTATGCTGTCTAAAGGGACAGGCGTCTGAGGGCCCTACATCACAGAGTACCCTGAAGATTGGCAAATATTTAAGGGACTCTGCCCATACCCTGACGATTTACTAATGTTTAGGGGACTCTGCCCAAACACAGGGGTCCCTCCTTACTCACCCAGGATTGGCCTGCTATGTCTGTACCCCTTTGGTTGGCCTGCTATGTCTGTGCCCCATTGATTGGCCTGCTATCTCTGTGCCCATGTCTGTGCCTCAGGCCTGAGAGAATATCACTGAGAAAAGCCCAGTAGCCCAGTGCCCAGTACCCACAGGCAAGCACTGCTGACTTTCAATCTAAGAGGACACCAGTATACGGGCACCTCAATATGATTGGAAGGATGAAGACTCTAAACCTCATACCCTGTTTGGTTATTAACGGGTGCAGCCCGCTCAGGCGATCAGCCAGACGCTGACACGGAGTTCGGTCACATGATTAGAGAGCGCGGCTCTCTCATACACTCAACGCACTATGGTGCCGTCCATTTGTTAATCACACAGGCTTGTACCTATACAGGAAAACGATGACTGCATAGAGGGGCATCCCTCCTACATTCAATTAGATCTAACGACCGTGCTACCAATGTCGTTATAAAGGGCTGCCTGATCATGCAGGATACATATTTAGACTGGATCACTCTATTTCACCTTCTGTTATGGATCTACTGGATCAGCACCACTGTACCCCACACAAGAAATACTCAGAGATATAACAAGGGGAGACTCCCGCTTATTTACACACTCCTGGAGATGGTACAGCTAACGGATGAGCCTCAGATATTTCAAGGGTGCAGGTTTGGTATATTCTGTGCTATATATAACAGACAATTGCATTCTGTCTTAGATATTCGGACCATTGCGAACAAACTGCACAGACAGTTTTTCCCATATCAAGATGACAGGAGATACTGAGACCTTCATGGAGCAAATGGGCACTGCCTTGCTCAGGTGACAAGACTAGGGAAGGCCCACTACCCGGTCCCCAGGTACACCGTTCGCATGGAGAGACCGGAACCCCGGTTGACTTTAGTTCCCGGGTCATTACAATCTTTTGATAAGATGACAGGACTTCCCCTACTCCTCTGAGCACATATCTGAAGAACATGGTTCGGAGATGGAGGGCCCTCCGTCTGTACTCTATACCCTCACGGGAGCCGTTTGGGTTCTCACTAACCCACTTTTTCAACTACCATCAAGGAGATCTACGGGACTTTATGGAGGAACCCAGTGTGCCTGACTCCTACACGGATGTCAAAGTCGGGTCGCAACTTACCACTGGAGTACTGCTCAGGGTGTAGCAGATTCAGATAGGGCTGCCGACACTCTCAAACGGGACATCACATGATTCGGACGGTTGTAGGTAGACCCTTGTTTTACATTGACTTTGGTTATCACATATAATTAAAAAGACAAAGTGGAAACACCTCCCAAATACGTGATAATATAAGAACAAATTCAAATAACCTGAGATATAGGTTGTAATTCATAAACGGAATCTGTATAGAAAATTAAAAAACTAACATAGCGTAATACAGTACTAAATAGGTGAGTGATATATTAGTGGAAATAAGTGCACTCACAAACAAAATATGAAATCTGAGACTTACACTGACAATATAATTGTTGTGATACCTTTTACTGTTTTGAAACACTAATGTTTGTGTTCAGCGAAGTCTCCTGAGTATAACAGTACCCCTCATGTACAGGTTTTATAATGTTTTCAAAAGTTACAGAGTCAAATATAAGGCTTGCGTTTCAGTTTTTTCACATTGAAATTCGCCAGAAATTCGCCAGATTGCCTTTGAGACCGTATGGTAGCCCAGGAATGAAAATTACCCCCATGATGGCATACCATTTGCAATAGTAGACAACCCAAGGTATTGCAAATGGGGTATGTCCAATCTTTTTTAGAAGCCACTTAGTCACAAACACTGGCCAAAATTTGCGTTCAAATTAGACATCGACTGATTATCAGTCTGGCCGATATTCTGTATTTTCGGCAATATCGATATCGGCCAATAGAGATTCCGATATTGCCGATAATACATAACAAGACTCCCGGTCCTGGGGGGGCCAGCAGCAAGCGCTTATTTACCTTCCCAGGAGCTCCCTGTGTAAATCTTGCGAGTCCTGCGGCCGTCAGAGCGTTGCCACGGGTTACCATGGCAATGCTCTGCACGGCACGCTGGCCGCGAGATTTACACAGGGGAGCTGCTGGGATGGTACGTAAGCGCTTGCTGCGGGCCCCCTCTGTACTTCTCGTGCAACTGAACCACCAGGAAATGCTATATCACACTACAGAGACACACTGTGTGTGTATATATATATATATATATAATGCAGTGTGTGTAGATATAATGCAGTGTGTGTGTTTGTGTAGTGTGTGTATAGTGATTGCAGTGTGTTTATATAATGCAGTGTGTGTATAGTGAATGCAGTGTGTTTATATAATGCAGTGTGTGTGTTTGTGTAGTGTGTATAGGGAATGCAGTGTGTTTATATAATGCAGTGTGTGTGTTTGTGTAGTGTGTTTATATAGTGCACACTACACAAACACACTGCATTATATACACACACTATACAAACACACACACTGCATTATACAAACACACTGCATTCACTATACACACACTACACAAACACACTGCATTATATAAACACACTACACAAACACTGCATTCACTATACACACACTACACAAACACTGAATTCACTATACACACTACACAAACACACACACTGCATTATACAAACACACTGCATTCACTATACACACACTACACAAACACACACACTGCATTATATAAACACACTGCATTCACTACACACACACTACATAAACACACTGCATTATATAAACACACTACACAAACACTGCATTCACTATACACACACTACACAAACACACTGCATTATATACACACTACACAAACACACACACTGCATTATACAAACACACTGCATTCACTATACACACACTACACAAACACACTGCATTATATAAACACACTACACAAACACTGCATTCACTATAC